TGTGTGTGTGTGTGTGTGTGTGTGTGTGTGTGTGTGTGTGTGTGTGTTTGTGAGAGAGAGAGAGAGAGAGAGAGAGAGAGAGAGAGAGAAAGAGAGAGATGGGGGTGTCTGTTTTAGCCATGAGAAAATTAAGCAGAGACCCAGAGGCAGAGGCAAGGTTACATACAGTGATTAGACTCAGAAACTTAGATCAGCAAGGTTGCCCAGAAAAACATATAGCTTCTTCCCCCAACACACACACATCTCCCCTCCCCATCAGTCTACCCCTTTGTAGACCAGGATGTGTTCCTCTTTCCTTCCCTGGTAGCTGGCCCCAAAGTGGCCACTCACAATGGATCTCAGGAAGACACTGATCAGAAACAGAGAGGGATTGCTGTACGAATAGGATGAAGATTTTACGGTTTGTCTTTGCCCCTTGCCTGGACAATGAATTGGCTGCCTTTATTTGTGGCTTAATCTTTGGCTCTTCGTTCAGAGGCACATCTCAGAGAAGATGCTGTTTCAGTTTCTAGATCAATAAAGAAGCCGTGTCAAAGATCCCAAACTAGCTGACCGCTGCTTTCTAGAAGAAGTGCTGGCCTCATCAGTGTGGGTCTACGCTGCAGGGAATGATGCTCGTACTTTCCCTGGTCAGGTCTAGACCTGTTTCAAGCAATTTAGAATTCCTTCCGTCTACCTAGCTAAGACAGTCACTGTGAACTTTGGAGAATGGCTGAGCCAGGTGGGCCTTAGGAGAAAGCATATGCCTAGCTTGCTCTCTGTACATGCAGAAGGGCCCTAGCTTGGATGCTTCCTCCTAAGGAAGGTGGGGAATCAGCATGTATTCAGCAGAGAGCATGATGATTTCCAAGCTACTGACCTGTGGTACAGTCTCTCCATCTACACTGAGTGGCGCTGCAGACTGCACTTCCCAGCCAGCCCTGACCACCTGAAAGCCACTGACATCCAGAAGCTATGTGGCTAATCTAGCATGTTAGTGGATTAGATGTATCTCTGAGCTACACATTCTCCACTGACGATGATTCGCTGGGAGGCAAGTCAATCAGAAATGTGTCTGTACAGAGACATAGAAGACCAATGACCCCCGAACACAAGCTGATTGGCTGACCCTCCTGACTCTGCCTGGGCTTCCATCTGATGCCCTTCCTTCTAGGATGCAGGACCACAGCACAGTAGCTTGTGAACAGCCTCAGGAACTGCTCCATCTGTCTATTCTAAGTGGCTTTGGAAAATCAATGCCGTCATACCTATATATGGATCGCTCAGTGTCCCCACTGCCAAGTATGCGCAGATCATGCAAGACCCTGAAACACCGTGTCTGTGTCACATTTTGGGCTATACTTCCCACTGTGTTATTTCCCTACTTTATTTCTTTAAAAGGCTTACTATGACTCATGTTCCACTTTCTGTATCCTCTGAATACACTCTCTTCAAGGGTTTTTTTTTGTTTTTGTTTTTTTTTTTTTTTTTTTTTTTTTGTTGCTGCTAAAAATTCCTGAGTATAGTCAGGCGGTGGTGGTGCACACCTTTAATCCAGCACTGAGAAGTTAGGGGAAGGAGAATCTCGGTGAGTTCAAGTCCAGCCTGATCTACAGGGTGAATTCCTGGTCAGCCAGGGCTACACAGAAAAACCATGTTTTGAAAAACAAAAACAAAAACATCAAAAATCCTGGAGACTCACATTTTAAAGCTCTTCTTTCTTTATGGGGCTGCCATGAACTCATGTGTAATTTTCTTTAAAGATTTCTTTTTATTTATCTGGGTGTCTGTGCTTGTATGTGCCATGTCATGTGCCTGCAGAGGCCAGAAGATGGTGCCGGATTCACTGGACTAGAGTCACAGGAGGTTGGGAGCTGTCTGATATGAGGACTGGGAATCAAACCCAAGCCCTCTGGAGGAGTTGGGAGTGCTCCTCACCACAGGGCCGTATCACCATCCCTAGTGAACTTCTGAGCTGCTGGACTAGGTGCTGTGTAGAATGTGTGCCCAGCCGTACTCCCTTTCATTCCGGATGCCCCATCTTCATAAGGCAGCCAGGTTTGCGATAATAGCAATACCCTCTTAGCAGTAAATGCATTCCTGGCCCCAGAGAGCCAATCACATTCATGTTGGAATACAGACATGGTGGTAGGCCTGGGGGCTGTGGTGAAAGTTAGAGACATTGTTGAGTGGAAGCTGCCATATGGAAAACCAGTCTCACCCATATGTCTGGAGAAGGAGAAACAGAGAAGGAAGTGCTAATGTGAAAGAGTCAAATGTAAAGATACTCCTGGTGAGAGAGGGAAATGAGGCAGGTCTCAGGGTATGAGAGAATAGGAAGAGAGGAGAGGAGAGGAAAGCAGAGAAAAGGGGAGGGGAAGGGAGGGGGAGGGGAGGGAGGGAGGAAGGGAGGAGAAGGGAGGAGAGAAGAGAGCTCCTAGTGGTTTTCCAGTTGCTAAGTCTGGGCTCTCTTGAGGCCTTGCCTGGTCTTGGAATCTGTGACATACTAAGGGTTTTTATGCAAAGCAGCCTCCCCCTCTTTCACACAAACACCCTCTCCACATTATTTTGAATGTTTCTAGTCTTCTTTTTTTAAATTTATTCCCTTTACATCCTGATCATAGCCCCCTCCCTCGTCTCCTCCCAGTCCCACCCTCTCTCCCTCTTCCTCCTATCTCCTTTCCCTAGTCCTCAGAAAGGGGTAGCCCTTCTCCCCTACCAACTGATCCCATCCTATCAAATCTGATCAAGACTGCCTACATCCTCTTCCTCTGGCAGGGCAAGGTACCCCACCAGGAGGAAGTGAGCTAGGAGCAGGCAACAGAGTCCATGTTAGAGGCAGCCCCTGCTCCCCATTTTAGGGAACCCACATGGAAACTGAGTTGCCTATTGGCTACATCTGAGCAGGGGGTTTAGGTCCTCTCCATGTATGGTCCTTGGTTGGTGCATCAGTTTTTGCAGGCCCCGTGGGCCCAGATTTGTTGGCTCTGTTGGTCTCCTTGTGGAGCTCCTGTCCCCTCCAGGTTCTTCTATAGTAACCAGAGACCTTTGACTAAGACAACCAAAGCCCGGAGCCCAGGTCTAGTTGTTTCTGATCCCCTGGAAGAGAGAAAAAGCCCCATTTCTTTCTGAATTAATTAAACATAGTGATGGAAACTTAGACATGGAATCCTATAATACATTAGTTTTATTCTTGAAGTGGTGGTATCCAAGGAAGCGATGGCTTATCCAAGGTCATTGTTAGGCAATAGCAGAGCTAGAATGAAACTGCAGGGCTTCCAAATGCTGGTTAGATGTCATCCTGAATAACAAGACTCCCTCAACAGAAAAGCAGTCAGTGCCATCCTTGCAGTGCTGAACTTTTCTATGCAAGCCCAGCAGTGTGGCAGATCCAGTACCACCAGATCA